CCTCGGGGCCCCCCCCCCTGCCCCCACCACTGTTTCCAAGCCGGGGGTGATCCACCACCGCCTCCCCTCCTGCACTCACACTTGAGTCTTGACTATCTCGGAGTGGATCTTCGCCACGCCGTTGACAGCGTGGGAGCCGACGATGCAGAGATGGGCCATGTTGATCCTCTTGGTGCCTCCCTCCTCGATCAGCGACATCCTCCGCAGCCGGTCCACGTCGTTAGGGAAGAGGGAAGCGATGTGCTGCCGGCGGAGGGTGGAGAGGTGGTGAGTGGTGGCGGCATTTAGGGCTGTCCCACCCGATGGCTCCCGGGGAGGCCACAGCAACGTCTCCAATGCACTTGCCACCAGCCAGAGCAGTGGATTTTACTCCAGAGTGACGGGGCAAACCCACCCCCCAAAGGGCGTCCTCCCCCAGCACGGGTGTCTCTGGACAGAAGGACCTCCCAAGGTCCCACAGAGAGGGGCTTGTGGGTACATGCTTGGTTTTGGTAAAAGCCTCGTGCTGCCAGACCAGGAGGCCAAACCACCATCTCCTTTGAAGCCCACCTCATCCTTCTCCAGGATGAATTTAGCATTTAGGGAGCAAAGAAATGCCAACAGGAAAGTCCCTGGAGCAACGGGTGAAGTCTTTGAAATAGCCACTAACCGCAGGATGGCAACAGACTGGTGGGAAGGGCTTTCCATACACTGACCTCCCAAAACAGCAACGAGAACCACCCAGCCACCCACCCACCATCATCTGTTTGCACATCCCCCTAATCCCAACAGCCATCCCCGTCCTCCACTCTGGAGAGGGCTCCTGTGCTGCCCAGAGGCACTTACATCCAGGTGTTTCTGGTTGATCTCATAGATGATCTGCAGGTGTCTGGGGAGCAGCTTCTCCACCAGGTCCACTGGCCAACGCTCCAGGGCTTCGGGGAGCACCGTGTGGTTGGTGTAGGCGAAGGTCTGTTTGGTGATGCTCCAGGCCTGACGGGGGGCAGAGCCAGCGCTGAGCAGCGAGGGTGGACCACGCATGGTCCTCCCATGGCAGCCAGCAGCACGGCCGAGCTGGCTCCTCCAAGTCCGTAGTGGTTAAACCCCACCTGAGTGCTCCACATCTCTCCCAGCTACAAAACTGGTTCCCCAGGACAGGAGGGTGGCTGCGAGTGGAGGGGACCCACAGGCCAGGTCAGGTCTCCCTACCTTGTTCCATGGCAGCTTCTCGATGTCCACGAAAATCCTCATCAGCTCAGGGATGGCCATGGCAGGGTGCGTGTCGTTCAGCTGGATGGCGACCTGCGGGGAGAGCAGGGTGACACACGGGGACACGCAGCCACCCCCACCCTCGGAGGGTCCACAAAACCCCTCTGGCCCCGGGTGTGCATCTAGGAGGCATCAAAACGAGCTCCGAGGTGCACGTCGGAGCACCCCTGGCTCGTACCTGGTCTGGGAAGGAATC